CGATTCAACAGCCTAAAGGCCTCTTTCAAGGCATTCAGTATCAACCCTGATTCATGAGCAGTTGCAGCACAAGACAGGCGTGGGTGGAGAGCCGCAGTCCACGAAGGCGCCAAGAGATGTGAAGCCAACAGGATGTCTGCAGCAGAACAATGCAGGCAAGCCAGGAAAGACTGCGCCAAGGACCCGGCAGCTGTCTCCATCCCCTGTCCTCACTGTCCGAGACTTTTCCGTGTGAGGAACGGCCTGACCGGTAACCTCTGCACCCACCGTCCAGGTCAACCCCCTCCCCCACAAAGATAAGGCAGTGGTCATTGATGCCACCGACGGAAGAACAACTTTAAAAAAATTTTGGCCAAATGCAGAAAACATATTGACGCCAGCGTCAAAATAAAGCGGCCGCAAACCAGTTAATTCTTCCTTTCATGAAGCAATTAAAAACTATATGCATGCGACATTGCCGATTTTCTTTATGCATAATACATGTAAATTGTTTCTAGTATAAGCAAAAACCTACCCCATAGTACTCTGCGTCTCCGTAATCAGTTTGGTACAAATGAACCCTTACGTGAGTTCGATGTTTAAGTAGTTTTTACATTTATAAAAGTTTAACTCCAAGGTTTAAGGGTCAAAGAGAATGGTTTCTAAAGAAAGGCCTTGTCACAAAGATTGCATATGGAAAGTATGAAAGCCCTAGCCCTAACTGTTCAAAAGTTATTGCCAAGGTTAAAGTTTTTGAAAAGTAGATCAAATTCCAGGGTCAAAGGGTTAAGTATGAAAGTCCTAGCCCTTACCATTCAAACATTATGACCAAGATTAAAGTTTTTTAAAGTAGAAAGTCTCAGCACCAACCGGTCAAAAGTTATGGCCAAATTAAAAGTTTTGAATTTTGATGTAAAAGTTTGTCAAAAGTCAAGGTCAAGAGGTCAAATTTTTGTGGTACCCAAAGAAAGGTCTTGTCACAAGGAATACACCTAAGAAATATGAAAGGCAAGGTCCCATCTAATCAAAAAATGTGGACAAGGTTAAATTTTTTTGAGACAAACAAACAGACAGGCGGACGGACAGGGCAAGAACTACATACCCCGAAACTTTGTTACCATGGGCATTAAAAATTACTGGCCTCGGAATCTACACTAAGCAAAAGGATGCTTCCACATAAGACTCAGTTTCAGTTTCCTTACCCAGTGGTTCTTGAAAAGAAGATCTATACTATAGATTCATGTAGGTCTGTATTCAGCACTCAGAGCCATTGGACAGTGAGAGACATCTGTCTTTAGCTTGTGAGTGCAGATGAGAAGGAAATAATAAAGAGATGTGTTTGTGAAACACTGAAACACCGTATGGTAACATAGCAAAGATTAAACTTTTCTTAAATGCAATTAAAGTATGTTGGTACCCAAAGTATTAAGGTCTTAATTCTCGCAAGATACAAAATATGAAAGCCCTATCTAGCACCACCTCTTCAAAAGTTTTGGCCAAGTATAATTTTCTGAAAGGTAGGTCAAACTTCAGTGTCAAGGTCAGAGGATCAAAGTTGTAAGTTTCTAAAGAAAAGTATTTTCACAAGAATGAAGTATGAAAGTCTTAGCCTTAATTGTTCAAAAGTTATGGCCAAGGTTAAATTTTTAAAAAGTAGGTCAAACATCAAGGTCAAATGGTCAAAGTTGTTTTATCCAATGAAAGGTCTTTTCACAAGTGAAACAGAAATTGGTAGGCCTATTTGTGATTTAGTTTCGTATGAAACGTTAGACCTAAGTTTTTGTTTAATTTCCTAAGCACACACACAAAAATTAATTTTACAATCAGAGTTTCAACAAGTAGGTTGAAACTGCCGATGTACTGGGACTGCACTGGGATAATACAAGCCGTATAATAGTGCTTTTAAGACCTCTTTGGTGATGGAGTTAATAAACCTTGGCTCGTTTCTTCTTCTCCATACGGTTGTAAGATAAGGCAGACAGCTGCGGAGGATAGACAGCTAGGTGTTTCATATTAAACAACACACGTAAGACCTGACTAAGACAGCTACTTGGTTTGGGAGAGAGGTGGAATACCACAGATAAAGGTTGGGAAAATGCCAGAAGACAACACTTTTGTAGAAACAGGACCAGAATAAATTAGCTGGTGGGAGACACCAGTTGACCACAGTTAGCGGTTGTACAATCCAGAAGAAATCCCATTAATTATTTTGTTGTATTTTTAAATTGTATATATTTGGTCAACAAAAATCTGAGTTAACAGGTTAACGAACCTGAGTGTTAAGCCTCGGTTATATAAGTCATTCAGCATCATCACACACTAAGCTCGGCAGCGTTGAACGTTACACAAGGATTAAATTTGTTAAGTATGAAAGCCCTAGCCCTAACCCTTCAAAAGTCAAAAGTTGTGGTCAAGATTTGTTTATAAAAAGCAAGTAAATTTCCAAGGTCAAACTGTCAAGTTGTTGGTATATATCCAATGAAATGTCTTCCAACTAGGATTATAAGTGAAGTATGAAAGCCCTATAGCCCTTACCATTCAAAAGTTAAAGCCGAGGTTAAAGGTTTTTAAGTACCTTAATTTCCAAGGTCAAGGTCAAAATACATATGTTAAAAGTTTTTTTTAAGTACCTAAATCTCCAACCTCAAGGTAAAGAAGATGGTATCCAATGGAAGGTCTTGTCACAAAGAAAATATAATTATGTGAAGCATGAAAATCCTAGTATCTACCGTTCAAAAGTTAATTATGGCCAAATTAAAACTATGTCAAACTCTTAGGTCAAGGTTACGAGGTCGATCTAATTTGGTGGTACCTAAAGAAAGTTCTTATCACAGGGATGTGCGATAATGTCCAACATTCAGGTGCTATGCACATTAAAGGAAGATCGAAGAAGGAATACATATGTAAAATATCAAAGTTATATAGCATAAATCAGTATTTATTAAATGATCAAGAATTTTGGTGCTCTCTGATTGGTGTAAACGCCTTTTCCTGAGATGTACCTCAGAGTGAGTTCACCTCATATGACGTTCGGGGGGGGGGGTGTTATTCGGGTTTTTCCTCTTGACCAACCATAGATTTGCTTACAGACCAATCAGATTGCGTGTTTCAAAGCATGTGTCGGTGTGAATGTAAACATGTCAGACGCCAGTACCAAGGAGATTACACACTTTTAAAAGTATATGATTGAGTATTGATTGTTTAATAATATTGTTTTCTATTTTTAACTACTAGTTATTAATTAGATAAGTCGTGACAATTTTAATATGTTGACGGTGCGACCGTTAGAGCGAGCGCAAACTCTTCTATTGTTTTAATTTAGATCGGGCTCGTCAAATCGCACGTGACATTTGGTGCGTCTAGACTCTGACGTCACATGACGTCGTATGTAAGTTACAAATACTAAGAAAAAACTGAACAGTGCTGAAAGTTAATGAAAAAAGTTATGTTTACAATTTATCTTCAATATGTATCCATTTAATCAAGGCGAGTAAACTTTTTATTGAACACTTGCCTTTATTCTCGCGAGAACGCAACTTTGCTAAGTGATGCATTGTGGATCAAAATTACTGCGGCAAAAAATTCTAAAGAATGAATGTGCAGTAGTCCGAATTTTCTCTTCGCCCAGGCGTTGTCGTTAGAGCTCGCAGTTACGAGCGTCGCTTCGCTTAATTCTCACCTTATTAAATTTGTAAAACTTACAACTGTGTTTTCATTTAGCGTTGACCATAGTTCAGAAATCCCCTTACCTGGGTTGATCATTGATAACTGGATATAGTTTACTCCTTTAAGCCAAGTTGGCTAGTAACTTTGGTAATTTATACACTAAAGAGTTATACTTCCGGTTACATAATTTTTGGTGCCGTGACCAGGATTTCTGAATAGGAACCATGGCTTCGCTAAATTCAGGTTCTGATAGTGTAGGAAGAGTTACATCAACCCCTAGAATTGATAGGTTAAGTTCAAGTCAACCTAGACCTAAGCTTATGTCAAGAGTCAAACAGCCCTCTTTGTCCTCTCCTGTGAGTGAGATTGAGAGGCATGAGAGTAAATTAGATACTAGCATGAGTTTACAGGTTTCAGATTTAGAACAACTGTTGCAGGACCTCACTACAGACTTTGAGAAATGTAAGCATGAGACAATTAAACCATGAGGAAACTTTTAAATATGCAAACGTCGTGTGTCATTTGCTGAAGATAATGCTAGGAACAGACAAGCAAGTCGGAATGAAGTTGTAAGAGAGACAGTGACTCCCTTAGATAGAGTGAGAGAAACAGAGAGTTTGAGTACCTCACCTGCACAAATAAACTTTGCACAGAGAGACAGAAGTGAGAATCTCAGTAGGTCACAGACAAATATGTCTACATTACCAAGTACCCCTAGTAAATCTTGGTAGACCTAAACGTAGAGAAAAAGAACCAGATAAGTTTGATGGTAGAAATGTAGCATGTAGCATCAAGGGGAGAGGCACAGAAAATTCTAGGTGTCCTATCTCAAGAACAAAGAAAAGATTATGACAACTTAACATCCATCTTATCTAGTAGGTTTTGTCCGAAAGAACTAGTCGTTGCACATAGGGTAGATTTTAGATCACGTCTTAGAAAACAGAATGAAAGCCCTTCAGATTACGGCTTTGCACTTAGGAGGTTAGGAATTAAATTTAGCTTTTCCAGATATGGCTTGATTTTGATAACTGGTTTAAGCCAAGTTGGCTAGTAACTTTGGTAATTTATACACTAAAGAGTTCTACTTCCGGTTACATATATGGGCCCTGATTCGGTAATAAATTCTATTCTATAGCAAGACAGACGGACGGACAGGACAAAAAAACTATATACCCCCAAATCTTATATTACGGGGGGCTTAAAATTAAATAAATAAAAACAAGTTCTTTCGTGCGTTATGAAGGTGTGCTAAATCCGGAAAATATCGATCGTATTCGATTTTAACTTTTATTTTCTCATTGTTTACAAATGGCTGACTGTATTCAGTGTTGTGTTTTTACGTGTGAATAATTGCCAATTGGCAGAAATAAGCTGTAATCAAAATGGGAAAAGAACTTGGACCTTTGGCTAAGCACCAAAAAGAAGTTGATGGTCAAAAGAAATTGGTAAATAATAACACAAATTCCTTAGGAGGAAAAAACATGCAGATATATTTTTCTTATATTCATAAAGTTTATGACGATCAGGTGTTTTTCCTCTGTAACAAAGTGTTAGGATAATCCAGATAAATGCTCCTAAAATACCTTACAACAAACTGGCTTTTGCTTTCATTCTGGGAAATTTGATGACGTTGTAATTATTGAAAAATTACTGAAAGATTGAAACATATATGAAGCATGTTCAAACTTGTTGATTAAGTTTGGGTTTTTGTTGTTGTTAAATACTATTTAAAATTCTTCAAAATGAGCAATGCTATGAATGGTAGTATAATTTACTAGTACATCAATGAGTCATGAAACAGAAAATAGCTTGATTATTTTTCCCGATTTTTTTAAATTTTGACGGTTTGGGTATTGGTTCATAAACCCTCTGCTCAATCATATGAAATTTTTCTTTAACTTTTATGATTTTCAAAAGAAAATGTATATGACTATATGCTGAATAAAATACAAACAATTATAGCATTGCTAGCGGGGCAAAATTTGACAAAAAAGGCACTTAAACTCGACAAATTTATAAAGGAATAATAGTCATTTGTGTCATTAAGAGTTATCTCTCTTATCAGAGTATCAATGTACATCTGTATGCAATAAATTTTACATAGTCCTGATACACTTTTTTGTTGTATACCTTATTATCTATAACAACTCAAAAAGATTACTGTTCCATCAAAGAGTAAGCATAGAATTAGAATAAATACATTGTAACACACATGCAATTATATAAATTTATTTATTCCTTTTTTCAGATTGAAAAGCAAATTAAAGACAGCAACAAATTGTTGGGCAATTCTAAGTTAAAAAATGATGAAGAAAAGCTCAAAGAACAATTTAAAGGGTAAAGAAATAAATTTACATGCAGTTATTCACTTTTATGCACCAAATGTCAGTTTTGATAATTTGAATATTTTGTTTTTTAAAAGATGTAAGTCTTGCAATAATTCCACTTATTGACTTTCATTGTGATAGTATCACAGGCTGCTGATAAATATAGATTTTCTGTGATATTTTAATCATTATAATCTCCTTTCAGATGTTATGAAATCAAATTGAAAGTTGAAGAGTTCATTGTTGCAGCAAATGCACTAGAAGAGGTGAGATTCCCTTCCTGTAAACTAAGTATTAAAAAAAATACAAAAAAATAGGAAAGAGAGAAATAAATTGATATTTTGCAGATAACCAGTTCAATATATCTGTACCTTAACTACCTTTGTACATTAATTGTCTTTAAACTTTTGGATTTAGGGAAATGAACCTTCAAAAGTCAAAGGATTTGATAATAAGAAGAAAGCAGAGATAACAAGACTTGAGAAATGGCAGGTATGTATGATATGAAAGTGATATTTAATTTTTGCAACAAAATTTACTCAGTGACTAGGCAAAAATCATTTAATTTCAATATTACAAATCAAACTCTGTTAATTTATGATTTCCTTGCAATCCTCGTATAAGGTGAACTGTTCATTATAAGTTGTTAATAGTTTACTGCAAACTGCTGGAGACATTTTTTTTGTATTGCTTGTAAATTGAACCAACAAGTCAAAGAAAATTAACTCTGTAACTGAAACATAAATTAAAAGGAAAACTTATCTGAAACTTTAACACAGGTGTTTGTATTGTAATTTTATTTTGTAGACACAGCTAGACACCCAGATGAAGAAACTTTTGCCCGAGGAGAAAGGGGAGGAATACCTCAAGTAAGTTTTTGCTGGAGATTGTTCATCATTGTGGAAATTTTATGTTATAATTGTTTGTCATGTCCAGAGGAAGGAACTTCTTGCATCCTTTGTGTAGATTGGTTAAAATAATTGATAACAGAATTGCCAGTTATTTGTATGATATGAAATAAATGTATTTTCTGTTTGGTGTAAAGAAAAACCAGGCAGCTTGCTCCTGAAATTCTGTCTATTAAGTTTATTCATATTTTGAAAATAATATTCTTTTTTTTTAAACTGAGTTCTGAGGTTTATTTTGATGTGATGTTGTTCTGCAGTAGCATTAGTTGACCCCATATTTCCAAATGAAGATTTTTGTCCATTTTAGGGAGTTGAAGGGTGAAAGTGAAGAGGATGATGAAGAAGAAGATGATGATGAAGAAGAAGAAGAAGGGGAAGAGGAAGAAATAGAAGAAGAGGAGGTGGAGGAGGAGGAAGAAGAAGAAGAAAGTGAAAAACAAGGTCAGTCAAGTGTTCCTCAGAAATTAGACATGAAGGAACTCTTCAGTATTAGAGGTGAGGTTTGGATTGAGAGCAAATGACATGGCTGTGTATATACTTATTCGGATTGCCTAATAATTTGTGCTTTAATCAATCAAAATAAATATCAACTAATATGATGGCACAGTCATGCATTAGGTTGACAACAAACAAAATATGACGTCACAATAAACTTTTCATAAATGGTGCAACTTAATACAGTGTAAAAAATGGGCACAGATTCAAGGCAGAATCACCCTGATAGCCTATAGTTTGCCTGGCCTTAACCTCAAAGCGTCTATGAAGCATAAAAGAGGGACAGGGACCCAGGCTACTTCAGGCAAATTGAAAATGGGTCAAAATCAGTTGCAAGTCTGGTGGAGGGAAAATAATGCTTGGGTGCCAATAACCCTGTATAGTATTTGCAAATAAATTCTTGCAGATTCAAAGAAAAAGGAAAAAGAGCCAGCAGAAAAAGCAGGAAAGAAAGAAAAGAAAGACAAAGAAAAAACTGAAGAAGCAGCAGAGGAAGAAGAAGAAGAAGAAGATGATGATGAGGAAGAAGAGGAAGAAGAAGAGGAGGAAGACACAATGAAAACAGAGAGGTAATGGCAGAATTTGTCTAGCGGAGGAAGGAACAAGAAAATTACCCTCAAAATAAATAATTTCACAGTCAATGGTTGGGATGTAAGTCAAAGAAAGGTGGGATTGAAGTTGGATTCTTTGAATTTTTTTCAGTAAACCAAAAGCCAAAGTAACTAAAGAAGAGGAAGATGAAGAAGAAGATGATGATGATGATGAAGAAGAAGAGGAGGAAGAAGGAAGTGAAGAGGAGGAGGAAGATGATGAAGAAGAGGAAGAAGAAGAGACAGAGAAAAAGGAAGTAGATGATATGGAACAAACAACTATTGAGGTGGGTACTATATATATTCTCTCAAGTGTCTTGTTCTTCTATTTTGTCTGTGTGAGTATAAATTTATAAAATCTTGAGGAAAATTAAAGAAAGGTATTCAGAACATTAATGTAGGGCCTTCGATTTAAGGAACTTTATACTTATGAGAGGAACTCATGTTTGTTTGGCCTTCAGTTTGAGGGACTTTGTGAGAGTCATTCAACAAGCATTGGAACATTTGTTTTTTCAATATACATGAATTATAAACATAATTTTATTACTTTTAAATCGCAATTTAATTGTGTTGCAGGGCCTTCAGTTTGAGGGACTCTATGATTATGAGGGGAAGGAGGAGGGAGATTTGTCCTTCAAACAAGGAGAGATTCTGACCATCATCAACACAAGGTGAGTTTTTCACTAGAGTAGACTTCTATAATTTAAAAAAAAAAAGGCCAGTCAATGATCTTAGATTTGCTAATTCTCGCACTATCTTTTTTTTACAGAGAGGATGGTTGGTGGGAGGCAGAAAATAAAGATGGAAAAAGAGGAACTGTACCTAAGACCTTCCTACAGGTAACACATGCAGAGTACATAAACTGTTCCTCTAGAGAGTCTATCTAAATTATGAGAATCATGCCCACAAATCAGGGCATTGTTGTCAGGACAAGGAGCTTGAAAAGATGCATACATTCTTTTAAAACCCATTCTGTGCTTCTGGCATCTTGGAGGAAAATTACAAATGGGTAATAAGGCCAAAATAAAATTATAGTTTGTTTGGAATTGCCGCCCGCCTCATTAAAATACCCCCCGCTCAAAAAATTTTATTGGCAAAATATTAACAATATTTTTTTTATCGTTTTAAATATCGTCTTACATTGTTTAGTACAAGTTAGTTCGTTCGTCAAAATAGTTTTTCAAAGTCGGGTTTGAGCTCACATTAACTTAACAACTCGGGTCAATAAAACGCTTTCTTCATAGTATTTATGAAATAGCGATTATAGGTGGCGATTTGACAAAATAAAAGCCGCCAAAATGTCAGACCATGTTGGAAACATTTAAGCGTTTCGTTGAAGATTAGAACATTTATGCATCTCTATAAAGATAAAAGATGAATAAAAAATTAAATGGAATGAATCATCGATATCTTGAAAGAGCTATTGTAATAGATTGCACATTGAACTTGATAAGTTAAGTCCGTCATGTTGAAAAAAAAATGATCGTTCAGTTCCCACTTTAAAAATTACATGGATCAGAAACGTTCTATCCCAAATAATAAAGGAATAATGTTGTCTGTCAGTATGACAAGTCTTTGAAACGTAATGTGAAAACTGATGCATGGTGAAAACTCGAGAACGCACCAAGCACCCCATCCTGGTTTTCCACAAAACATCCCAACTATTCTTAAGAAATTTTGTGTGGTTCAAACTGTTTGCAAGCGTTGTCTTAACAAAGGGGTAAATTTCAAAGAGAAATATTACGAAATAGACTGATAAAAGTATTGTGTAATAAAGATTCTTAAAATAAACCAGAAGTTTGGTGCTGAAATTTAACTATTAATAAATGAACAGATCTTAACATCTAAATGAGATGAATATTTGAGTACCGTTCTGTGTATATCTTTTTTTTTCAAAATCGGACCAAATAATATTAATAAAATAAAAGAAAGAGGATAATAAATGGATATTACCACTGTTCATTGAGATTTTATTTTTTTTATCATTTAGCTTCAATTTGTAAAAAAAAAATAATAATAAAATCCCTCCCTCCCTCCTGAGTGTGAAAACCCCCAGGCGGCAATTCCAAACAAACATTTTTTTAAGGATGGCCTAAGAAGAAAATGTGTGGCTTGACCAGAAATCAATATGGGGCCCAGGATCTTTAGTCGGGTGCTCTACATCCAGTGTTTAGTGCTGTTCCTTGAAAAAAAAAATTCCTTGCCTAAGTCAGACTGGGGGTGGGGTGGGGGTGTTGAATCTTAAAACTTGTCACTCAGATTATAATTAGATGTTAGATCTGCTCACATACTCGCTACATCTAACAACATTCTATAGAGGGTCAAGTCAGAGGTCAACTTCTGAACACCTCTAGACTTATTGGCTTCAACAATATACAATTATTTTGCGGCAACGATTTGATTGGTTGATAGAATTTGACCTCTGATGTGACCCGCAATGGAATGTTGGTAGATGTTAATGTAGCAAGTATGCGAGTGGATCTAACATCTAATTTATTTAGATTAAATACATGTATGACTTCCAATTTTATTAAACCCCTCTTAGAAAAAAAAAACCCTGTTTCTATTCCCTCATGCAGTTGACAGGGAGAGTTATGAATGAATATATTTCAAAATATAATTGACAAAATGAGTTCATACACTGTATATATACACTGTGTATTCTGTTGTTGTTTTTTTTTTAATTTAGAAAAAAATTATTTGATAAATATAAGAGTGATTTTCTTTTTCAGATGCACAATAAATACAAACATGTACAACAAGATGATGGTGAGTTCTTATTTAAATTTCAAATTCAAATTTCTTCTAATAGTAATTGCAATTTATTCAGATAGTTTAGAATTCTCGGTCAAAAGAAAATCCATTAATACATACCTGCAGTTAATGAATAAATAAACTTCCACAGAAATCCTATTTTTATCATCATCATATTTTTAATGTCTAACATTTCCCATGTTGGTAAATATAAATTAATTAACTTCCTGTTTCCCCCCATGTTTTTAATAGAAGAAGAAGAAGAAGAGGAGGAAGATGAAAATGAAGAGGATGAGGAGGAGAAGATAGAAGCCAAGAACAGGTTACTCTTACTACTTCAAATTTACAAATACACAGTTTTTAATAGTCATACTTTTTAGTCATACAGTGTATGTTGGAAAAGATTTAAAAGAGAAAAAAAAAACTTCTTTAATGTCTCTAATTGCTTGTGTATTCAGAAATATATCTGTGTGTATTTTAGCCACAAGAAAGGATGGGGGAGCATAAAGAGAGCATTAGGAGAGGTAGGATAAAGATTTCATTTCAATTAAAAACCTCATTAATGATTTAAATTAAATGTAACATTCATTTATATGCTCAGTCTGTGGAGTATGATATTATTAATATTTTTGTATGTGCTTAGCAAGACCATGAGCTTGTAAGTAGCTGGAACACCCATGCTATATAGTAATACTTCACTCTGTCCAGACATTGAAACTGCTTTCTAGATTCCAAACCCCCAGTCTCTAAATCCACAGTCATTAATATGGTTGAACTTGTCAGAAAGAGAGGAAATAGTGATTTATTATTTTTATAATAATCTTAAAAAAAAAGGAAATAAAATAAATTCTTTGTTACTGTGAAATATGAATATATTTCAATAATAATTGAGCTGTAAATATACATGTAACAGCAGTGGATAATTAGTAATTATTGCTCTCTTTTTGTATATAAACTTGTGATTTTGTGTGTCAAATAACCAAACAATGCCAAAATAACATGACAGTGGTCCACAACATACAATAAATTGTCTACATGTATCTAATAAAAAAAAGTGGTCCACAATATAAAAAAAATGTGTATATATGTAACTAAATAACAGTGGTCCCCATATACAACAATAAATGATGAAGCTTGTGCCTGTAGTGTTTTGTCAGTTTTGTGATGCGTAGAAAGTTTCAATGAAGTAATCCTTTTGTGATGTGAGAATGCCAAGTGTTGCTTGATGCATGAGTGGTTACCATGGTAGAATGATGAATGACATTAAGCACTGTATTATTCATGCATGATTGAATTTGTATAAATATTTACACGTAGAAGGGTTGATTACAAGTTGGTACATTATTTCCTTTTTGCAACAAAGACTTCAGTTTATGGCTAGTTTGTGTAACTAATTAATATATATATATATATATAAGGAGCACCTTAGAATTTGTGTAAAATTTCTTATTAAAGGTAAAGCTGCAATTAAGGTTGTGTGTGCTTATACTTCTTGACTTCCTCTGATGAATTGTGGTTTTGTAGTAGACAACTTGCGTTATGAATATCCCAAAAAGCGGTTCAAAGCTTTTCAGTTATGAGACAAAGCTAGGATAAATGAAAACAATAGTGATCATAGTTTGATATCTGGCATTAGTAAGATATATTTGAGATAAACTGAGCATACATTTTAATAAATGCACTTGCCATTATTCTTAACAGCAATTCATTGCAGCCCGGAGGACCGGGCTGCTCTATACATATAAGTTTAAGTGTTGGTGTTTGGGGATTGGGATGGGAGTAGTTATTTAGAATTAAAAGTTTTCTAACCATTGAAAATATTATTAATCAGAGTGTTCTTTCCCTTTATAAATTACGAGATATATAATATATTTACTTCCATGAAGTGAATCTGTAAAAATATATATGTTTTTCATATTTAATATATGAAGTTACTTATCATATACCATCGAAAAAACGACAGGTCCCTTTTTTTAGAACATCGAATTTTACTTCTCGCATAAAAACATACTCTGCACAGTTCGTGTTTTATATTCTAAAATTGCAAATTAATACATTTTTGAATATAGGTGATGCATGTGTCTAACTTCAATTTATATTTTATGCAGCCAAAATTTACTTGAGGAATTGATGAAGTTTAAAATGGTATCGTTTTTGTTTGATTTTTATCCGACTTAAAGTTTTCAAAATATTCGCGACTTTCGTCTCCATCAATTAGACGCATTCCTTTTCACACATATAGGAGCGGTTTGATGATCAAGACTCATTTTCATTGTTTACTTTAGATATTTCCCGGGTGACATTTGATGGTCACATCAATGTTTTCTTGTGTGTTAATGTGTAGGTAATACATGCCCTATATGTATAATATATGATATGTATTCTGCAAATACTTGTAATTTCAAAGAGATCTTTAAAACATAAAATCTTTTGTAATATTTATAATTGGTTTAGGTGTATGTGGATTTAATTTGTAATAAGTTGCATTCTGCTTTGACCATTGTTATAGGTTAAAAAACAGGTAAGGCTAACTAACCCAAAGCACTGTTTAAGCACGTTTTCCCTTCACAGAAATAATCATTCCAACCTAATTTCAATTATTTTGGGGTATAAATCTGGGGTACATAATTTTACCCTTTCCTCTGCTGTTGTCAACTGTGTGATCAAGTTGATCCACTTTCATATAAAATGCCAAAAATTGTTTATCAAGCCAGTGTTCTTTTTTCACATCATTGTGGTTAGTGGATGCAAGTCAAGTTTTCTGTATTTCCCAAACATAAGATATTTTTTTGCTTGAAGTTTTACAACTGTAGAATGCTTAATTCTGAATTTATCTAGAAGTGTAATAGTTATCCTCTATAAAACCTAGCCATGTTTATAAATGAACATTAGTATCTTTTGCTTAATAACATGAAAACTTCAGCCAAGCCATCCCTTACGTCTGCTTTGTTCAATATATTTTGCAAAGCTTAATGTTTAAAAGTCTTATCTTGGGATTACTTTCAATTTTATATGGCAAATTGACAGGGGCAGGAATTTATCCTAGTTTATATCAGAACTTAACTTTGTTTTTATCTTTTTACCAGACCAGTGTAACAGACGTACTTCATGCTCTAGGAGCCATGCCTTCAGGATTTAGACCGTCCACATTGGGTCCTAAGTTTACCAAGGGTCAGTATACAGGATACTGCCAGGGGGGCAGGCCTATATTGGCCATATTTCTAAAATTTCTATTAACATCTTACATATTCTTCTGTTCCTTAAATCTCGACTTTTCCCAGAAATTTATTGTATATACATGTAATACGTATTTGATAAACACAAAGCTGATTTTGATGGATTATAACAGTTAAATATTGTATGAATTGGCTTTTAATTGGCATATTTGTTGTACATGCACATGATGAAATCTTGATGGCTTGTAGATGAGAATTTCACCATGACGAACTACCTGGCACCAAAGTTAAGTGATTCCAATATCTCCTACAGGGACCTGTTCTACATTCCCAAGGAGAGCAAGGTCAGGTCATCATTCTCAATGACAATACGATATTTAACTGTATTGTTAGGGCCTAGCCTTACAGTCATCTGTCTGCCTATCAAAAAAAATTCATTAAAAATTCATTATAACATGTCGCAACTAAAAGTTATATAATTCCATGTTCTTGAATCGATCTCTATTATACTTGTGTTTTCACGTCATGTTGTATTATTTATTATAATATTGTACAATGTTTTTATAATTGTATCATTGTGAATGTGTTTAGAGGGACCCGAGGAAGACTAGTGCATTGCACTAATCGGGTTACCCTCTCTAAATAAAGTATTATTATTATTATTATTATTATTATTATCTGTCTAGCTGTCTGTCTGTCCATCCATATGTCTGACTTCATTTGTCCACTGTACTTGTCCAGAACATATTTTCTTTCTAGTTTACCTACATGTAAGTGATGTTGTATTTGTTAGATGAAGAACTGTAAATATTTACCAAAATCTTTTTTTATTTTTTACAGTTAAGGCCATTTTCTACAAAGATGGACAGAATTATTTTGATTCAAGGCTGTAAACAAATCCCGCTCCCAGGAACTGGTTTGTTATCCGTCGTTATCTATGGCTATTCATTGTCATCCATTCTTACATCTAGTTTAGTTGTTTATTGTATCACAGAGATAAATAGAACAGTTCCCACTAATTTTTGTCACATTATGTTACAGGAGTTGATGTTGTGGGTAGACATGTCAGAATGTGCCTTTTTGATGGACACAATGTAAGTAAAACTGTACTATAGCCAACCTGTATACCCAACCAAATATATATAAGTATCATGGCTTACAGCAAATCAGGGAGGGGGAGGGGGATTATGATTTGTAAGAAAGGGAATTTGTTTTTGATGTAATTGTAATGCATTATCATTATGTCATTATATTTAGATACAATATTGGTTTACATATATATACACAGATGCTGAGTAACATTCATACAGTGAAAGTGACGTCAGTCGACAGGGAACAAAAAGCCTGGTCATTCTCCTCAAAGGTAAAAATAGACACAAAAACAGGAAGTATCAAAGTAAAAATAGACACAAGAACAGGAAGTAGAGTCATTCTCCTCAAAGGTAAAAATTTGTCAAAGGCAAAATTTCAAAGGTAAAAATAGACACAAAAACAGGAAGTAGTGTCATTCTCCTCAAAGGTAAAAATAGACATGAAAACAGGAAGTAGTGTTATTCTCCTCAAAGGTAAAAATAGACACAAAAACAGGAAGTAGAGTCCTTCTCCTCAAAGGTAAAAATAGACACAAGAACAGGAAGTAGAGTCATTCTCCTCAAAGGTAAAAATAGACATGAAAACAGGAAGTAAAGTCATTCTCCTCAAAGGCAAAATTAGACACAAAAACAGGAAGTAGAGTCATTTTCCTCAAAGGTAAAAATAGACACAAAAACAGGAAGTAGTGTCATTCTCCTCAAAGGTAAAAATAGACACGAAAACAAGTGGCTCAAAGGCAAAATTAGACACAAAGCAGGAAATTTCAAAGGTAAAAATAGACACAAAAACAGGAAGTAGTGTCATTCTCCTCAAAGGTAAAAATAGACACGAAAACAGGAAGTAGTGTCATTCTCCTCAAAGGTAAAAATAGACACGAAAACAGGAAGTAGTGTCATTCTCCTCAAAGGCAAAATTAGACACGAAAGCAGGAAATAGTCATTCTCCTCAAAGGTAAAAATAGACACAAAAACAGGAAGTAGTGTCATTCTCCTCAAAGGTAAAAATAGACACAGGAACAGGAAGTAGAGTCATTCTCCTCAAAGGTAAAAATAGACACAGGAACGGGAAGTAAAGTCATTCATCTCAAAGGTAAAAATAGACACAAAAACAGGAAGTAGTGTCATTCTCCTCAAAGCAAAAAATTATGAAAAAAAGAACAGGAAATGTTATTATTCTACTAAATGGTGAAATTAGACACAGAGAAGGTAGAGAGTGAAATTATTCTTTTCAAAAATAACTACAATAAATGCCATTTGTTAGATGTTCATATATATATATATCTACACCTGTAAAGTATAACTGATTTTTGTTGCATGTATTTGTTTCTAATAATAGGCCCCATACATTCATACTTCAATTTATTTTTTAGAAATATTTGAAACATTGTATTTATTTTGTTAAAATCCCTCCTATCTATATTTTTAAAGGCCCAGTGCTTTAAATTTCTCTTCAAAGTTAAGTGTTATAAAATATTGAAATAATAACCAACAAAGATAAAAATAAAATCAACATAATTTTTATTTAAATTTACAAAAATAGACAAAAGAAGAACTAAAACAGCATTTTCTTGAGAATAGCATTCTCAATATCTGAAAAGATTTAATATCAAAGGGTAAAAACAATGAAAAAAAGAAATTGAAAAAAATTGAAAAACTGGAAGTAGTGTCAAATATCTCTGTTTTTTTTTATATAAACTTCAAATAAAAGGTAAAAATAGACATGAAAAATTGTTTTTCAATCAAAGGAAAAAATTACAAGAAAAAAAACAGGAAATGTAATTATTCTCCTTAAAGGTGAAATTAGACACAGAGATGGTAGACAGTGAAGTTATTCTTTTCAAAAATAACTACAGAGTCAAAAAGTACAGGGATTGTAGTTGCTTTTACAGTTTTAATATTGCATATATGCTTATTGGAGAAATAAATAAGACTTTAAGAAGAATTAGCATATGGACAAGCCATGTTTTATATCTTTTTTTTCTCTTAAATCTTATTCTAATAAGGTATTATTTAATAATTAAAAGTAAAAATGAATAAATTGAAACAATATTTTTTACGTGTTTTTAAAATCATTTTTCCCAAAATGAATGAAGTTATTAAAGTCAAATATAATGTATAATTATGCATTTAATAAGGAAAAATAATTAAAAGCCAAAAGTGAAACTTTATTTTATAGTCTGAAAATTGATTCTGTTTTTGACAAGGAGATTAAAACAATAGTTTTGAATATGAATATATTTTTGTTGTCCACAGATCAGTGATGCGATGGACCCCTACCTCCACAGTGAAGTCTTCATCAGATCTAATGACACCTCCAAGTCCACCGTCGGTCAGTATCCAGCACAAGAGATCACCCAGAGGGAATTTTTTTTTACTAAATGTTTTATTTTTAAAGAAAAACAAACAAATCAAAAATACCTACATACATGTACATATACACCAACTCACATACACAAATGTTATTTTTATAAATGAAAAGAAAAAACAAAGCTCTAATGGACTGCTTTCTATTGATAGGAATTCTATTTGAGTTATGTGTGTCATACTGCAAAACTGTAAGTACATTATTTATTCCTTAGTCATTTAACTTTGCATGAATTTTGGTAGTTTTCTTTGTAGTGGTACAATAAAGCACTATTGCAGCAAGCATTGATCTTACAATGAGTTTTTTAAACAATATACATTTTTTTCATGGAGTTTTTGAGATGATAGATAGTTATAACTTGATGTAACAAGACAATTTCAGTCTGGCCTGATGATGGCTTTAACTTTGTAGTATTACATTGTTTATCTTTAGTGGAAAGCTATATCTCGGTGTTTTAGTGTATTGTAGATCCTTGGTTATATTTTTGTTTGTGCATAGTGATACTTGCTTGTAAATACACTAACAGTATTCAATGCCAACTTAAGCTCTTTAAGATTTTTTATTAATATATATTTTATTTGTGGCTTTGAATTAATTTTTAGTTTAAATTTCATTTTTGTTTTATGGTTTGGTTCATTTACATCATTTTTCATCTCTCAGCCTGATGAAAACAAACAGAATTCAGTAAGTAGATATGACCTTGACCTGTCTGAGTGACCTTTCACTGTCATTATTTTTCACATCTTCAGAAAAGATCACCAAATCAACATTTCATTGTCAGATTTACTACGAGTTTCAAACTCTGCACACTTTAATTAACACCATTAATTAGTATAATTAATGTGGGAATTCATCACCAGCTTTATCATCAACCTATTTAATGTTGTGAGGAAAACTTAGCATATATATTTAATCAAGGAACATTCATTTATCTCAAAATGTGAAACCTAACAGAACATAGTACATGTGATTTTAGTTGTATAAATATTTGTCAGTCATATTCATAGATTCAGTTTAAATATTACATCTTTATTCTCTTTGCCTTTGTCTGTAACTACAACAGCGGAATTTTCACATGCCATAATGCATAAAATCTACATGAATACTGCTACTGTGCAAAATTAATCGAACATCTCTCTCAATAAACCATCTGTGTATACTAAATTCATTAACTGACTTCCACTCTAATCCAGCCATATCATTCAGTCAGGCAGCTGGCTGGTTTAGAGATGTTTAACTAAAAAATACAAAGTATTTATTTTTGTAGAAATTGTGACTCATTACTTTGATCACTCTCTGTCGAAGACTTGATTTCACTGGAAGAAATCACAATCAAGGCCTTTCTTAAAGGTGTTCACATTTCATTTCTGAATGTAAGAATTGAAAGTAAAACTTACATATATAATGTTTCTTGTAGAAAACCAAAGAGTATGGAGAATTCAGTTGTGGGTGGGTTCATCTTCCCTTGGTGGAAGAAAACGGAGGTGTGATCTCAAACAGGTCTGTTTTTATAAAAAATTATCTCTTTCATTGTGATAAAAGTTATAAATAACAAATGCTTTAATATAAAGAGAGTTTGTAGATACTATGGTTTCATCAATTTTCATTGGCATCAATTTTTTTGGATTTTGTAAAACAAATGTTTTCGAGGATATATAATTTCGTGTATGAAAGCATTGCCTATACAAATTAATAGCATATTTCTTAATTCAATTAACATTTAAATTCGTGGATCTGCTCAGCAACGAAATCCTCAAAAATTGGTGCTCAATGAATATTAATGAAACCACAGTATCAGATTTGTTGTGGGACTTGGTGACCTTCACACCCTTTCAGTGGGTTTTTCCGTGTTTATTTTTAGATCTTTTGATCTGTATGTTAATGGAGGAACTCCTTATGAGAAAGGCGTGGAAGTGGACCCGAGCATCAGCAGGAGAAGTAAGTACAGGGGGGATCTAGAGGGGTGTAGTCTAATCTTTGAAAGACATGACAACATTTTCAGTAAATGATGTTTTCAATAAAAGCATGAACCAAGTTTTCATGAATTTAATCTCTTGATAGGAACAGTACAAAATCTGAGTGGTAACTCTAATATTATTATTTTTTGCCTTTTTTTACATTTTAGCATTTTAAAGTTATCATATTCATTTCTGTATTTCAATTTTTAAAAGTTAAACTTTCATTCAACATCTTTTATACAAAGTATAAGATGAGCTTATGCTTTAACCTCAGCATAAACATCTAAGTCTAAAATTTATGGAGCAGGCCTACTTATGAAGTTACTATAATCCCAACCTGAACAAAATTGCTTGCAGTATCAAGGTAGGGACACATGTCTTTGGGGCACTGGTTTTATATGTGAAGTGAAATAAGTGCATTATGGGATGTCTTTGGATGTGTGCACACTCCAGGTCTGATTTTGGAGACTCCTGCTTTTGGTTCTACTCCTCACATCCTGACATGTATATATTTTCCTCATATCTGAGATTTACGTTTTGGGGGCAAGTCTTTTCCCAAGTCATTGTAAGCCTTAACTGGATGGTATGGAGAAAAAATCTAGGAACCCACACCTCCAGATATGTTTCAGATTCTTTATCTGGTCCTGGAGTGTGATTGAATGAACAAATTAGAGTTTTTGAGCATGTCCATTTAAAGAAATAAAGCCCATTTGTCTTACATCTGGATAAGTATCCATAAGATTACATTTTTTGGAGCAGCTCTACTCTCAAGGAAATATGGAATGTGTCCTAGCTTGACCAATTTTCAGAGATGATGTATTTTGAGATTTAAATTAACTGCCTTGCTTCAATTGCTGCTGTTAGTGAGTTATATTAAAGATATAATTATGCTTTTAAACAGCAATAACCACATTTCTTTTTCAAATTTATATTTTAATAGCTTCTTTTTTTATAACGGTAATAATTAGAACTTGAAAAAAATGTCTTTTCTTGGCAATTTATGGAGTTCATCTATGTATACATGTATCTGTTTGCTTTGAACTGTTCACATAGCTTGTCTGATTCTAATTTTGCTCAAATTGATATATCTGTGTACTATGTATTTTGTATTGACATGCATGATTTGAATATGTATCTGTGAAAGTATAACTTTTGATTTTGATCCCAGCGGCCAGTAGTTCCTTCATGTCCATGCTGTCGGGAAACAAACAACCTCGATTGAATGTCAAGGTCATGATGCCAAAAGCGGAACAGAAGGCTCAGCTAGAGTAAGCGTGATTTCTTAATTAAGTCTGCTTCTTCCTGTGTATCATCACAGTGTGTCAGGGTATGTCCATGTGAACATCTGTATATACATCCAGAAAATATTGAACAGTCTTCATTTTATTTTTTATCAAGTATTCAGTAAAACATGTCTATAGCAAACACGCTTTTCATGAATGGACAGCTAACAGCAAAGTGATTCTCATTTCCCTTGACTTTAAAATATTTTGAAAACTTAATGGATATAATTAATTTTGCTTATAATTAAGCAAAATCCTCCATCCCTGGCACTGTGTTATATACGCATGTTTTATTGTATATTTCATCAAAATCCCTGCATCCTGACACATCTGTGTATTGCATGGTTACAAGAGAACATAATTACTTTATTGTGCCTGTGAATTCCTTGGTTAGTGTAATTGTAAGGTTTGAGATTAAAATTCGACAGTTTATACTTGTACAATACATAAAGTATTATGGAGTAATAATGAAATCATAATCAATTTCAGCAACCTTCCGGAGGTGTTGCTCGGCAATGTTGCTCTCTTGCCATATTATTCGTACTACAGACAGATCCTAGCTGACGAACTATTGAAGAATCGACTAGACTACAATTCAACAGGTCAGAATTAGGTCAAATATGGTAAAAACAGGTCAGATATTAGGTCATACACTGTAAAAACAGGTCAGAATTAGGTTAATTTACTGTAAACATTGGTCATTAGATCATATACTGGAAAAGAAATTTAGTTAATTATGAGTTTATTTAAACAGAGAAAATAGTGTGAATGTCTCCTATAAAACTAATAATTAAGCATGATTGTATATTTTTTACAGAACTACTGCACAGCCCTGTTTTAGCCGTTTTTCCTAAGGCGGCTGATCAGCATGATCTGATGAAAGTTTTACGGGTATGGAAATTTGATACAAATTCTTACACATCTTATTTGTCACTTACATTGTATTAAAACTCAATTCATTTTTTACATAAATTTCTAAATTAAAGTTACTTGGACACAGATTTGAAGTCAATATTTTCTCTATTTTATTACGACTTATATCTTTTAATAGCATTTCACACAAAAATTAATTAAAAATCTTATTTCAGTTAAAAGTTATTAAAACTTCAATGACTCATCCTTGCACTTTCACAAATTTTAACCTAATTCTTAATCCTTAGGAAAAGTGGCAATCTTGTTGTGTATTAATGAGAAATATTAAAACTTTTATCCAGAAAAATAATTTTATTCCGAGTAGAAATGTTAGAAAGCAAAATTCATTCACAAGTATCGTCATTCCGAACTAAGAGTTGCGTACAGAGTTTAGCAAATCGAGCACACTCGTGTTATGTAAACAGTTTTTGTAAACAGGGCTCGAGTTCTGTTTTTGTTGATGTTTACAATTCACAGGGTGCGTTCAGTCGTCACAGTCTGCTTACCACAACTGCACGGACTGTCAATATATTGTGAGTTCGTTTTGCTTTCAAACATGTCTATTCTGAAGTTTCTGCATTAATAGAGAAAATAATAACTTCAAATCTGTGTCCAAGTACCTTTAATATACAAGTGTACATATTTGCTTAGATGTCATAGACTTCATATGTTTTACCTTGGAAAAGCAAAACACAATGAAGACTAATACTGCTGTTTGTTTTTAAGGATACCTACATATCAAAATCAAAGACTGTGAAGCGAGTTGAGATGGTAAGTTTATCTGGGAGAAATTCCTGACTCTCTGTAGCTGTAGACTTTGGCACAAATTCAGGGTCAGAAATTATAGAAATACATGTACATTTACCTATGTGTAAATTTACATAAATATGTACATATGTTCAATTACCCACATATCTACATGTGTGTATTTACTGTATATACCGATGAAGTAAGCAGCTGGGAGTGGATAAACATTTCATCTTTGATTAGGATTAACCCTCAGCGAGATGCTGTTAAAAGTATTAAAGATTTCTGATTAAAATTTATTCATCTTCTTCACGTCTTTGCATACCTTTTTTTTTAATCGTTCAACTAGTAAGCATTCCTGCAAATCAATTGTCGGTTTTGTTCTGCATGAAGAACTGTTATTGAGAGCCACGGAGAAAGCACCCATGATTTGTATGTGGCTTCTGTTCATTTGGGACAAATTCACTTCATGTTTAGAATGGCTGCACAGTTTATAAACTTCAGTAAAATTCATCTGGTAGGCCATTTTAAAGAGCAAGTAATGAATTCCAAAATTACCAGTGAGCATATTTCTGTAGTGTAATGTAGAACCATCATATCATAGAACCTAAATTTTGTAGATTTCGTCCATGAATTCACAATTTTAAAAAAATAATCTATAGGATATATATATATCTTTCATAATGAGATTTTCACCAATTAAAATGGAGTCCTAGAATCTTAAAGCAATCCTTAATAAAATTCCAACAGATTAAGTTATTCTTACATTAGTGTCATTTTCAATGCTTTATCTTGAATGACCTTAATAGAAAATGTTGTTGATCTGAGCCTAAGTTAAGATTTTATAATGGATTAAAGCATTGCAAAATCAGCATTTTCTACCAGAGCATTGCATGTCCAATCACAAAGAATGACCCAGTGTCATAGATTTAAGTTCAGAGTGGGCACAGTCATACTGTATCCAGCTTATACCATTATTTCATAGCATGCATTGTGTGTTCATTCTTTGTATTTTGCTTTGCATGTCCACAGCTGGTAAGTTGAGGAAGAGGGTGTTGTTTTGATTTTGAGCCATTTATATTTGTTTAACTTGTGCTTTCTCTAACTTTTGTTGACGTTTATTGATGTTTTAATTACATGTACATGTACTTATAACTCCCAGATTACTTATCTTGAAATTAATATTGCTAATAGGCAATAAAACTGCATTTAAAGATATATTTGAAAACATGCATTAAATTTGACGTTTACAATTGTTCATTATTTGCACCCAAAATATATATGTATAATGTTAGAAATACTAAGAATCTTTTATTTGGCAGTGAACCTAAAGTTTAGTCAGTGTTTAGACTTCACTGAGATCAGAACAATACTTTGTCATCACTACATGTATAAGATCAATATTGTATTCAGCAGAATGGCAGTAAATTATGTTTATCAATTCAAGAGGAAGATAGCTCTTATTTATAAATGTTTACAGCTCTATCTTACCAAGAACTAGGGATGGGTATCGCCAAAAATTTCGTATTGCGATATATCACGATTTTTCCCCCACAATATCACGATAATATCATGATATTTTTAAAAGCAGTTTTTACAGTGATTTTATATGAAAAGTCATTATTTTTCTAAAAAATATGCTAGAACTTTCTTGAAATTTTATGTATATAAAATCAATTACGTTTTGACGGTAAGATGCCGTTCCTTTCACTTTTTACAACATTTTTTATACTTTCTGTAATTGTAATTTGAAAGATTGAACAAATAAATGAATAATTTCTGGACTTTATAATATGTACCTAAAGACCGGTATTTAGGTCTCTGTATCACGATACGTATCACGCAACAAAAAATCGCGATATACCGGTATACCGATAAAATTGCACATCCCTACCAAGAACCTAAAATTTGACTTTTACACACTGCTGTCCTAGCTGTTGACATCCTTCATTCCTCTCTAAAAGAGCTCTTATTCTCTGTACTTCCCCTTTCCTACCCAAGTATAATGGTAATTTAATTATTTTCAATGCCATATCTGTTTACTGAATTACCAGGAATGAGTACTGTGACCTGGCTAACTTCTGTCATGTGTAACAGAAATATCTGCTTTTTATGTACATATGTCACGTGCACTGCCACACCAAACAACTCATGTTCAACTGCATGTTCACACTTAATGAACCACAAGTTTGCTGTGGTCCACCTTTATATTACTGTACTCAGTTATTTACTAAAATAACAATTGATTTTAATGCAAGTTAGACGGTAAAAACAATTTAAACAATAGTTTTTAGCTCACCTGAGCCGAAGGCTCAAGTGAGCTTTTCTGATCACATTTTGTCCGTCGTCCGTCCGTCTGTCCGTCCGTCCGTCCATCTGTCCGTCTGTCTGTCCGTCTGTCCGTCTGTAAACTTTTCACATTTTCGACTTCTTCTCAAGAACCACTGGGCCAATTTTGACCAAACTTGGTACAAAGCATCCTTGGGTGAAGGGGAATTTAAATTGTTAAAATGAAGGGACATATCCCCTCGCAAGGGGAGATAATCAAGAAAAGGCAAAAATAGGGTTGGGTCATTAAAAAATCTTCTTCTCAAGAACCACTGGGCCAGTAAAGCTGAATCTTATGTGGAAGCATCTTGGGGTAGCGTAGATTCTAAATTGTTCAAATCATGACCCCCGGGGGAAGGGCGGGGCCACAATGGGGAATCAAAGTTTTATATAGAAATATATAGGAAAAATCTTTGAAAATCTTCTTCTCAAGAACCACTGGGCCAGAAAAGCTGAAACTTATGTGGAAGCATCCTGGTATAGTGTAGATTCTAAATTGTTGACATCATGACCCCTGGGGGAAGGGTGAGGCCACAATGGGGAATCAAAGTTATAGATAGAAATATATAAGAAAAATCTTTGAAAATCTTCTTCTCAAGAACCACTGGGCCAGAAAAGCTGAAACTTATGTGGAAGCATCCTGGTATAATGTAGATTCTAAATTGTTCAAATCATGACCCCCGGGGGAAGGGCGGGGCCACAATGGGGAATCAAAGTTTTAGATAGAAATATATAGGAAAAATCTTTGAAAATCTTCTTCTCAAGAACCACTGGGCCAGAAAAGCTGAAACTTATGTGGAAGCATCCTGGTATAATGTAGATTCTAAATTGTTCAAATCATGACCCCCGGGGGAAGGGCGGGGCCACAATGGGGAATCAAAGTTTTAGATAGAAATATATAAGAAAAATCTTTGAAAATCTTCTTCTCAAGAACCACTGGGCCAGAAAAGCTGAAACTTATGTGGAAGCATCCTGGTATAGTGTAGATTCTAAATTGTTCAAATCATGACCCCCGGGGGAAGGGCGGGGCCACAATGGGGAATCAAAGTTTTATATAGAAATATATAGGAAAAATCTTTGAAAATCTTCTTCTCATGAACCACTGGGCCAAAAAAGCTGAAACATGTGTGCCCATGGAAGGATCATGGGGTAGTGTAGATTTCAAAATGTCTAAATTATGATCAGTGGGGTAGGGTGGGGATGCATTATGTATAACAAGGGGGAAATCTGGTAAAGAACAGAATGGTCAAAGCTTCTCAGGTGAGCGATGTGGCCCATGGGCCTCTTGTTTAAAGGTTTTTGAACATTTTCATTACATTTAAGCTTGTACATATAAATATGTGTCATGCATTCAAAGATCATATGGGTATTAAAAAAATATTTCCTATATTTATGCCCCCCTTCGAAGAAGGGAGGGCATATTGCTCTGCTGCTGTCTGTCGTTCGGTCGGTCTGTCGGTCCATTTAGTTTCCGTTCATTTTCTTCACAACTGTTGCACATACTGAAATGAAATTTGGTATACAGGTTTATCAGGTAAATATCTAGGTCAAGTTCTGTTTTGGGTACGATCGCGCCATTTTTGACAGATTTATGTCCCTTGGACTTAGAAAAATTCCACTTATTTGCAGTTTCCGTTCATTTTCTTTGCAGAGGTTGCACAAATTGATATGAAATTTGGTATACAGATTAATGAGCTAAATATCTAGCTCAAGTTTTATTTTGGGTACGATCGCACCATTTTTGTTAGAGTTATGCCCCTTGGACTTTTAAAAATTCCACTTATTTGCAGTTTCCATTCATTTTCTTTGCAGAGGTTACGCATATTCAAATGAAATTTAGTGTACAGATATATCAGATAAATATCTAGGTCAATTAAGTTCTGTTTTGGGTACGATCACACCCTTTTTCTCAGAGTTATGCCCCTTCAACTTAGAACAATTCCACCTATTTGCAGTTTCCGTTCATTTTCTTTGCAGAGGTTGCACATATTCAAATGAAATTTAGTATACAGATTTTTCAGCTGAATATCTAGGTCATGTTGTGTTTTGGGTAGGATCGCACCATTTTAGACAGAGTTATGCCCTTTTGGAATTAGAAAAAATCCAATTTGGGGGGAGGGGGGCATAGGTGTTTTACAAACACCTCTTGTTTTAGACACATTTGCCAATGGCTCAAATGAGCTTTTCTGATTAAAAAAAAAAATTGTCCATTGTCTGTCATCATCATTATTGTTGTTGTCATCGTTGTAGACTTTTTATATTTTCATCTTCTTCTCCAATACTACTGGGTCAACCAAATTTGGCACAGAGTATCCTTGGATGTTTATTCAAGGGTAAATAATGAAAAAATAGTGAAAATAGAGTAGGGTAATTTAAAATCTTCCTCTTTATATGTGAAAGCTTTCTTGTGTAGTGTAGATTCAAGTTTCCTCAAAACAGGATCACTGGATATGGGGTGGGGTGATTTTGGATGATCAAAGTTTCATAAAGGAATGCCTAGGGAAAATCTTTAAAATTCTTCTAAAAAACAGCAAAGTCATGTATAGTCATATTTATAAGGAAGCAGCCTTAGGTAGTGTAGATTAAGTTTTGTCTCAAACATGACCCCCGGGGGAGGGGGGGTTACAAAAGAATACATAGAAAAAATAATTTAATGTTCTTCATTGATTAAGGCTGATTATTCTTTGTTTTACAGAGGGACAGTGAGTTTATGAAGAACTTCTTCAAGGAATGTGTTTTAGAGAGTGTCTACCCACTTATGTATGATGTGAATTTAAAACCTTACAGATCAGGGAATGTCCAAATTGAAGAGGTATTTATTCTAGAAAACCTTAGATTGAATATTTCATCATTTACATTGTATACTTCACTTACTTCACTTTTCTGTTCATGAAATTTTTATAACATGGTAAAAGAGGCTAAGGTTTGAGATGCTTCCGTTAAGAGGATTTGTTCGAAGTTGTTAAATATTTTCAGGAAAGACTTGAAGAGATCAACCATTTTCTGACTAAAAAGACAGAAAGAAAAGGAATTCTAGCTCTGTTGTTATCCTCCGAGATTGAGTTCTCTCCCTTGGACATTAAGGAGGTTGCCTTTGATGTCATTGGACCACATTGTTTAGCAGCAAACTCACAGGTAATAGCTCAGCTGTTAATCATTAAAGTTGCTTAAACACATAATATATTATATGATGTTAATATTTTCACAAATTTTCTGTATAATTTCATGACTTGTATGTTGCTATAACATGCCATATAAACAATATAAAAAATCTTATTTTTGTGAAAGCTATTGAAACTTAGAATTTCCAGACGTGTTTGACTGACACATCCTTACACTTTTAATTTAAGATTTTAATTACTTTTCTCGTATGAAGTGCTGTAGCAGCAATAGTCTGTGGCTATAAATAGCCACTGTCTAAAAATTATAGGCAGTGCTGTCTATTCACTCAGCTGATATTCATAAACAGTGGTTACTACCTATCAGCACTGCTGATTATATAATAGTGTTGCATTATGCATGTACTATGCCTAAATAGTAGGCAGGGTTTGACACATGGTGCACGAGCCGGATGCGAGTGCACTATGTGTCAAACCCTGCCTACTATTTAGGCATAGTACATGCATAATGCAACACTATTGTTATTATTATGCTGACTGTTGTTATTATTTATGCGGCAATCCATTTGATTTTTTCCTGAAAATAATGGTGGTAATTAGCACAGCGCACTTGCAAAAACTCATTCAAAATCTTCATGCTAAAATTAGTTGCATGCTTAGTTATTTTGGTTACTAGTATTTTCTCTAAATAAGTCAGGATTTTCTGTCCCAAAGATACTCATCTTTATATAATTATTTTCCGTTTTGTTAGTAAGACTGATTTGTTTACAGACGTGAATTCTCATTGATAATTTTCTTTTACATCCTTCAATCAAGCGCTATATAAAAAAGCGTTTTAATGACCCCATGATATCAATTCATCTAACGAACAGTATGTAATTAGTTTGAAACTTTGTTGGACACATTTATCTAAGATTCCTTAGAATAAATATAACTGTTTTCAAATAATATTTGTCTATTTTCTCCTTCTTGTGTCAATTGTATAAATTAAGTTTATATATTTAATAAAATTCTACCAATCAGTGATCGTCTCTGTGGCGTAATCGATAGGGCATCGGACTGGCAACCCCATGGTCGTGAGTTCGATTCCCGGTGTGTACATGGCAGAATTTTATTCAGAAAATAAGGCTGTGCACTATTTCGGCATAGTATGCTTACGCTATATAAATCCTTAGACCACTATGCGAGAATAGTAGGGTATGGGTTATATAGAGACAAACTGACAGGAAGCATAATAATAATCAATAACAATGGATACCGAGTAATGTCATGCAAATTGATTATTTTTTTCCCCTTTTTAAGGTTGCTGCAAATGGCTGAAAATGAAGAGGATTATAGAAACTTATATATCTGTGATTGACTGTGATAGAGACAAGTATTGTGGCAGTTAGTGGTTGTAGACTTTAGAGCCGACCTACGCTGTGTAAGCCTGTCTGTGTAAGCCTGTCTGTAAGGGGGCGTGACTCTAAAAGGGAACGCCTTACACTCTCATGTTGTACATTGTAATGGCAGCTTCCTCATGTGGAGATTTTACACTCAATAAATTATTACAAGACTTTTTAAAAATCTTTATTCTCTTGTTGATTTTTTTTTAAAGTAAAGACATTAACTGTATTATTATGTATTTTGGAGAGAGAGAGAGAGAGAGAGAGCTGATAAGAATGAAAATATATTGAACTAAAACAGGAGAAAATATATATTATTGTAATCCTATACTAGCAGTATTTCAGCCCAAGAAACATATGGAGATAAAGAACAGTATACAAGATCAAAAGTACATAAAACAATTAAAATAGGTGCCGAGCAAAGACGGACCTCCAAAACATTAGAGGTTGGATCAGGTGCCATGGAGGAGTGAGCATCCCCTGCTGATGATCAGGAAATAATGGCAAAATCCGTCGTTAATGCAGTGTATAAATAATTGAAGAACAATTAGTGTGCATTTGACTCAATGATAAATTGTGTTTGCTGACAGGATCATTGCATCGGAAAAGGAGAGAAAATAAATCAGTTGAAAAATTAGTACCACGGAGAAAAATCTCCGAGGTACTAATTTTCCAACTGATTTATTTTCTCTACACACTGTGGTTCTGAGTTTTTAACAGTTTAAAGGACGTTGTACATAACAGACCTTTGGATTAACTTCCACCCACAATATATATATATATATATATATATATATATATATATATATATATATATATATATATACATATACAAATACAAATACAAATACTTTATTGGCACAAACACAATTACAATAATTGGCAAAGGCCCACTGAACAACATTAAATAATGTTTACATATTTTTTCAAGAATTGTCAAGTAATTGACTTCTAAGATCAAAACAGTCTCTGATAAATTTAACAGTAACTTTCAAGACTTTTTGTATATTACTGTTTATATATAAACATTGTAGCATATATTTTTCATTGCTAAGATTAATATTTTTCTTTGTTATGTTATAAATATTACTAAAGAATGCGTTTCTTAGCTTAGAGTAAGAATTACAGTGAAAAAGAAAATGTATTTCATCCTCAATCACACCAGTATTACAAACATTACAATATCTTTCATTTCTTGATGTGGAAATATATCTACCACTTTCTATTGCAAGTTTATGTGCGCTTAGTCTAATTTTACTAAGAGAGGATCTCTCAGATCTTTTTTTGAGTAAATCAACATAAGGACTTCTTTTTCCCGAGTATACTTTTTTTAAAGAAATCAAGTTTTTCTGAACCAAAGATTTTTGATGTTTGCTCTTGAGTGCACTGATCTATGATTCTTTGTTTAATGTTTGGTAAAAGGTGTTGGATGGAACCTGTATATTTTGTAATGTTAGAGAATCCAAGATTATCAAGAATAGAAAATAATTTCTTAGTCCAAGAATTACAGTTAATTGTGGATTGGTAAAGTTTAAAGGCCAAAGAATCAGAAGTTTTCAGGTGATTCCAATATTTGATACTTGAGAGGGAAATTTTGGACCAAAGTGGTAGTCTTTTAAGTTCTGCTAAACAACCAGCATTGGATGTTTTGCAGTGCACTCCAAGGATGTCTTTAATGAATTTTAAGTGAAAATTTTCAACATTTGAAATATCTTTGGATGAGAGATCCACTCCCCATATTTCACTACAATAGAGAAGAACTGGAAGTACAATAGCATCAAAGAGTTTTTCTAAAAGTTTACATGGGTTATCAAATCCAATAATTCTTTTCATTTTAAAACATGCTTTTCTGGCCTTTTCAATAAGCACAGCTGTTGCTAAATTAAACTTCCTATTACATTTCATCATAATACCTAAATAACAGTATCTTGGTACAATTTGTATTGCATTACCATTAAAACTAAATTCATTTCCTTGAGGCTTGCCATTTGAGTTAAATATCATAACTTTAGATTTATCTACATTAACTTGGAGTTTCCAATTTGAGCAATAGTTACTGAGAATATCAAGACTGGTTTGTAAACCGCTTTTGCTTTCTGAGAAGATTACAATATCATCAGCATATAACAGACAATTTACATGCATATTGTTTACTTGTACAGGATCACAATTTCCATTTTTTAAGTCATGGACAATACCATCAATAAAAACATTAAAAAGTGTGGGGCTTAAGACATCCCCTTGTTTGACACCACACTCAGAATTGAATACATCACTTAATCCATCAGAAAATTTGATTCTACTCATTGTATTACTATACATTGAAAATAAAATATTGAACATTTTTTGGGAAATATTACATTCAAGAAGTTTATAAAATAAACCTAATCTCCATACAGTGTCAAATGCTTTTCTAAGATCAATAAAAGCAGCATAAACCTCTTTGTTTTTGTAGTGATCAATTATTGTTTTTATTGAGAATAAATGGTCTGATGTTCTACAATTTTCCTTGAAACCAATTTGGTTTTCACTTATCAGTGATGCAGAGTTTACAAATTCAAGTAGCCTAGTATGTATTATTCTGTTGAAAAGTTTTCCTAGATTTGAAGTAATTGATATACCTCGGTAGTTATTAGGATCAAGCCTATTACCCGACTTATACAGTAAAACTAAGCAGCTCTCATTCCAACTTTTTGGGAATATACCAGAATTAAGTATAAAGTTAAATAATTTTTCAAGAGGTTTCAGCATTACAGATCCCCCATTTTTTAACATTTCATTTGATATCATATCTATAGAAGAACTCTTTCCATTTTTCAGGGATTTAAGGGCATTCCTTATTTCAGCGACAGTAATTTCTGGTTCAAGGAAATGGTTATGATGTAGTTTTTCTTTCAAGACATGAAATTTATCTATTATACTTTTATGAAAATTATTGTGATTGTTGTCAGCTTTGTTAAGTTTTTTAAAAAACTGATAAAATTCCTCAGGGTGAACATCATGAGATGAAATTTGTCCAGTATTGATTTTATCTAATTTATTGAGTAATTTCCAGAATGACTTTGGATTTTCATTAATATTGTTGTTAATGTCATTACATATTGCGTTTCTGTAATTTTGCTCCTCAAATTTACATAATCTTCTGTATTTTGCCTTGTATGTATAGAACATTTTCCTATATTCTCCATTAAAAGGGTTCTTGTTTACAAGTTTTTCATAATTTTTTACTGTAATTCTCAGATCAGAACATGACTGTGAGAACCACGGTTTTTTCTTATTTTTAAGAGTTTTATGCCTAGGTCCTCTCTTAATAAGTTTAGTCGATATTTTTGCACATTCAACAAGTATTGAGCTGAAGGCTTTTGAAATGGAATCACTATCAGAAAATTCATCCCTCAAAAATTATGAAAATTTAATTTGGAATAGATTGCTGTGAATATTTTTAGTGTAGGATTCTATTGCATCATTATTCCACAAAAACTTTCCAGGAACTGGTTTTAAATTATTTGAGTTATTTGAGTTTGGTTCTGAACAGAAGCTGTCGAATATTGCACAACTAATTGGACAATGGTTTGATAGGGAAGTAAAATCTAGTACTTCAAAATAACCAATTGAATTTAGAAAGTCTTTTGATACAAGACAATAATCAACTAGACTGCAACCATTATAGGTTATACAGGTGGGTCGACCTGTTAGATCACCTGTTGTTCTACCGTTTAAGATTCGTAAACCCGATTCTTTACAAAGGTTCAGAAGATTTTTGCCACTATTGTTAATGTGCTTGTGGTCAAGATTATTTCTTGACAAAAGTTTATCTGGTTGATAAAGAACATCATCTGAATTAATACGTTCAGAATCAAATATAACAAAATCAGGTTGGGTATTGGTGTAGGCATTGAAGTCACCTTGAACTATTACGTCACCGTTTCTACTATATTTTACTATGTCACTTAGTAAAACTGAATATATTTGTTCAATGTCAATCACATTGCCATTAGAATATTGGGGAGATATATAAACTACTGCAAGATAAATATCTCTTTGTAATCTAAAGAAACTTTGATCAAGTTTGATCCATAAAATATCTGGATGACTATTGTTAATTGGTATAATACCACTTATAATTGTAGGTTTTGCATAAATATGTATTCCACCGGAATATCGTCTTGCCTTTTTATGTTTTTTTCTAGAGCTTGAGTGAACTAAAATGTGATTGGGAAATGCACTGCCTTGATTTGTTTCACCTAACCAGGTTTCAACTAGGCTAGCTATGTGAAATTGTGACAACTGCTCTTGAAATAGGGGGTCTTGGATTTTTTCACTTGAAAGGCCCTCTATGTTCCACATACCCAACTTCAAAAAATTTGAATTATTTGCAACATGTTTGGAATATTTTTTCATGGTGTAATATTAGAGATAAAGGATACTGGATTACTCATTTTGAAATTTTGAAATATATATTAAAAAGGCGAAAACTAAATATTACACATGATGACTATCCCTCCCCGCACAAGTCGTCCGGAAATAAATTGTCCGTTTTCACACTTTGATTTTAGATTTCAAGCAATCGTATCCGGTGAAGAGAATGGCAATGACAAAAAATCTTATATAAATATTGTAGAAAATGACAAGCTGGATGATATTTCTTATTCTTCTTTGAATTAAAAAAATGCAGAAAGGTATGTGAAAAGTAATCAATTTATATTTATGTGCAAAAGATACATTTAAAATACAAGCTACTAAGTAGCCAGTCCGAAGCTCGTGCAAATGTACAGCCAACTTGTGCCGATGTTCACCAGTATATAAGTTCAATTTAATGCAGCTGTCGTAGATCATAGATGTTTTTTATCTTTGCACAGTTAGCATATGTGCTGTCAAAAATCAGGATTGTCTGCATCCCATTTTGTATTTTACCACTACAGATCGTGTCCTGGGCAGATATGCATTAAAAGCTTATAAGGAATGATTAAGCCTTGTTTATTTATTGTGTAGAGGGCAAATTTCTATATCTGCAGCATAGATTCTGATTACAATATGTGCACACCTGCTTGAAGTTATACTGTTTGATGACACTGCTGGTATTTTATCGTATTGAACATTGTTTACTTGTACTTTTCATTTCCAAGACTAAAAAGTCAAGATACATATCCCAAACTGAGATATCATCATTTACATGTACCGAAGCATGGGCTGATAGCTCAGTCTTATTAAAATTAGATCTTAAATCCACTCCAACTACATGTAGACAGCCTATCCCAAAAGCACCGGTCTGTCGGACAAAACAGGTTAAAATCTTATTGGTCCGTAACTTTGGTCCGTTTGTCCAAGGTTTGTTTTGGTTGGGTTTAAAATTATATATTATACAGTTATTGACTGGGTATGAGGGCAACATATGATTTGTTGGACCTGAAGGTGAAAATGTTGCCCGAGGGGGCAGGCCAAGGGCAACATTTTCATCTTCAGGTCCAACAAATCATATGTTGCCCGAATTCCAGTCTATAACTGTTTTGTTATACCCTTCACTGCTCACTTAAGATTGATCAATTTTATCAATACAAGCTATATTATCAATTATTTTATATGGAAAATTATGGTTTCTTCAGTAAACATCAAGCTGAGAAAGAACAAAATCAATTATCATGATTATAAATCTATTATATCACAAAAATTATTCACAAAACATACTCTTCCCTTCTACCTTACCTTGCTGTTAGCAGCAACTCTTAATAGCTCTTAACTTCGGCTATTTTCGCGTCGCCGATATTGAACGATGATTATTAATTGTGACGTAACAGACGAGTGACGTTGCGGTCTAACAATTCTTATGTAAGACCGGTCAATAGTGATATTGTTAGACCGATGTAATAAACATTTCTTTTGTAGGACTTTTTATTAGTAATAAATATATAGAAGGATATTTATAAGGGTATAACAATCCCTATTTCATATCATATAGACACTTTAACTAATACCAAAACACATTATGAAAAACGGTTTGTTGATTGTGATTGTTTTAAAACCTACTTTCGCAACAATGCCTCTAAAATATTTCGATGGGACAGTATCAGGGAAAAAAAGAAACATTTCAAGTAATCTTTTAATGTGTTATCTATTTATTGATTCAATGTTATGAAGTAACATCGTTATTATCTATTTATGATAAACGTTTCAGACCGGTGAAAATTTTTTTGGTCCTGTAAAATTGTGTTAACTGTCTGTCCGAATGTCCTGTGGCAATTTTTCTTTTTCGCAAAGACTGACTAGGTCACTTTGTAAACCTGTGCTTATGAATCATGTTTGAAGAGCAAAGCCAAACACGGTGCCTAACAGTCAAAGGACTTTCAGTTTCAGAAAGATATTTTTAATATCCTTTTAACCTTCTTTTTTCAATTATGTGCAAAGAGGAGTCCAATCCATAAGGAAAAAATCTTGTAAATGCTATACAAAAGAGACATAAATTGATGCAAAAAATGTATTTGAAAAATATCTCTATTTTTGATTAATTAATTTATTTATTGTAGAATGTAGAGGGATGTAGTTTGATGTATTAGCATGTTATCCTATTCAGTCCAGTGTTACTTCATAAGGAACTTCCCAAGATGTTTTCGACTCATTCATCAGAGACCAAAGGCTGGATTTCAAAGGTTAAAGATTATGAATAATTTTAAAAAGGATAGAATTTATATGTAATAACCCTGTATGAGTGTTTGTCTGTATATTAATGATTATCAAAGAATACCAGAGGACTGTTTAAAGCTGGTGATACCTTTATTTTACAGGAACTTTTCACATTTTGGATCACACTATGATATACTAGGAGTCAGCAGAGATGCTTCTTTGAAAGAAATTAAGTCAGCATACATTTCCCTGTGTAAGAAGGTAAAGATAAAGTCAGCATACATTTTTCTGTGTAATAAGGTAAAGAGCACAACTTCTTATTGAATAATTAATATATGTTTAACAAGAGAGGAGAAAAAAAATTGGTGGACATTGACTATACTGGGATTTGAACCCAGTCTGCCAGAATATTTTGTAAGATGCACAGCTTATTATCTGGCCACCATTTAAACCCATCTGATGACAGCATTTAAAATAAAACCTGCCTATTAAATTCATCATATTCAAATTAATCTTATTCTAAACATTGAAATCAAAAAATGACAATAGCATTAAAAAGAGTAAATTGCTTAGTGATTTTATTAAAAAAGAAGGCAATTAATTTTTAGCAATATTCTAGCAACCTGCACAGTTGAAGGCTATTTTTATGGATTTTTAAAGGGAGAGGTGAATTTAAAATGATTTGGTGTGTGGATTCCATTTATTATGTATTTATCTATACTTTAATTTTTTGTTCAAGAGACTTAAGAGGATTTGAATGAGAAAACAATCTCAGTCTCCTGATTGTCATAAGACATTGATGATTAAAATATTTAATGTTGGTTTTAGTTCCACCCAGACTCGAATCCAGATGACGTGGAAGCCCAGAGTAACTTTGTGAGGTTGAACGAGGCCTACACCCTCCTCAGTGATCCCAAGAAGAGGTCCGAGTACGATGAAACAATTGGGGTTCACCGGAGGGACGCACCCAATAAAGAGAGGAAGGCTCCAGATTTCAGTCACCATGACTTAATGTGAGTACTATCAGTCACCATGACTTAATGTGAGTACTATTCAGTCACCATGACTTAATGTGAGTACTATTCAGATTGCTTTGGAAGCTGGGGCTAGGGCTCAAACTGGTTTCATCCTCTTTCAGTCCCAAACAGTGTATATTTATAAACTGAATTAAAATTTGATGTAAATTAAATTTTAACAGTGTAGTCTTTTAGAAGACAGTTGCCTCTGAACAGTATAAGGTTGGAGTTAAACTCATATCTTATAAAGATGGACAAATTATTTTTGTAGTTTGAAGAAAATTCTTTAGCAGCGTTCAATTTAACAATACTAGTTAATACATGTATGATATATAATTTGATAAATATCTAGCACCATTAATACATTAAACTTGGTTCATAGAATGTCTGAAGCTGGATATACAAAAATGTGACTGAATTCTTTCATGTGTTTGCTTGTCAGTTGGGAAATGAATCACCGTTATGATAAGCAGAAAGACATGACTGAGGAGCAGATCTTAGACCAGAGACTGAAAGAGCAACAGAAACGGTACGAGAAATGGTACAAAGAATACCTTCTTAAAAAGGAGAGCCAGAAGTCTGACTGGCAAGCCCCGCCCCCCACGGAGGAAGAGAACGAGTTCAGGGAGACGGCATCCGAGTACAAAGAGGCGTTTCACAGAGAGGGGGCTAAAGACCTGAAGGAGGAGGAATTCTCCTGGCCTGTGTGGTTTGGACTGTTACTTCATGGCTCCGCACAGCTTGGAATCTTCCTGGTGTGTATGTACGGGATGTACAGGATGGGGCAGGAGTAAGTGGGCTTTATTGATTGAAGAGATGCTACATATTACTGGGCACTCTTGATTTGTCTACACCTTACACCCGGTGTACACTTTTCCATAATCAAGTACAAAAGTGTATACTTTAGGTGTACACCATCTACACCCTGTGCAGGGCATGTGTTATATAGAATAGCAAGAAAAATTAATATTAATAATGTCAAGTGTATTTTGTGAGGGTCTTTTTCTGTATTTGAGTTTATTGTCAAATATTTGATAGGTTGATTGTAATGAATGTTTTTATAGTAATTTAGTGGACCGTGTTTTGTGTATTTTATGGAAAATTGAGAAACTTCATATTTTGTAAAATAAAAAATAAACAAGTTTGGCAAGTTTGGGTGTTAAAGTCTCCAGATATTTTTGACTATGACTAGATATTTAATTATAGGAGTTATTATAGGAGGCTATGAATTTGTTTTATAAAAAATTCTTTGCCTTTTCATAAAATGTTTTGTTTTTAAATGGACTTTAAAAAAGTATTCAAATTGCAACAAATTTTATTCAATCTTCTGCAAATAAGATCCCATCAGCTGATTGAAATGTGATGTCCATGTTGAATTTGCTACACTTAACCCAATTTCACTTGATTATAACGTGTAAATCGTCTACGACGGGTGTAGTAAGCTGTAGACAAATCAAGCGCACCCACTGTCCAGTTTTATAAATCTGAAATTATTTAGCCTTGAACCCTATAAACTTAACTTATCATTGATATCTTAATTTTCAGGACTGGTTATATAGAAAAGAAGAAAAAATCTGATTAGAATTTTTAATTTAATGATTCAGTGTATTTTGTGAGGGTGTCTATTTATTTGGTGTTCTTGCCAAGAGCTGGATAATCCTTAAACTGTGGTGTGGATATTCATATACATAATTACTAGTATTTTATGGTTTTCACTCATGTGGATGTTTAAGGAAATGTCCTGAGTGATGATAAACTTTAATTAAAGATGATATTGCAGGAAAACCTTGATATTTTCTTTTAATAATTTGCAAATAAAAATAATGACTTTTTTATCGACTGTGTTAATTTTATTAAGAAGGAAGGGCTTATTAAGGGGGGCATATAACTTTGCTGCTATCTGTATGTCAGTGCGTCTGTTGGTCCACCATCAGTTTCGGTTCATTTTCTTCACAGAGGTTGCACATATTGAAATGAAATTTGGTATACAGATTTATCATAAGAATATCTAAAATGGTTCTATTTTGGATATGATAAAATGCCATTTTGTAAAAAAGTTTAATTCTAAAACACACCAATTATTTGCAGTTGCATGTTTTAGTGTCCGGAACTTTTTAACATATATTTACATTTGAGATGTTAATGATATATGTAAAATGACATGTATTACACAAATGTTTTCGTATTCCTACATGTATGTTGTGACGCTCAATGACCTAGAATTTTTTGTCTTTAAGTTATCTGTAAACATTTGAATGTTTTTCATGTTGTTAACATGGTAAATATATATGTATATAGTGAAAGATTATATAATAATAAGGACATTCTAACTATTTCATAAGTTCTTAAAATATTCGAAGTCAAAAGCGGTTTTATCGCCTGTTTTATCCCTTATGTCTCTTGGGGGAGGGGACATAAGTGTTTTAGAAATAAAAGAATTGATTTTGATGATAGTATGCGAAAGACTTTAGAAAGGCCTTTTTACATATGAGGAACTGGTGGATACTCAAGGATACACCAAAGGTTTCCAAAGGGCAAAATTTAATTTGCTTGAAATTCTTTCATTTACAAAGATAACATATTAAAAGTATATATCATTTGAAAGCTTGTTAAATTTACTATTTAATGATCTTAATTTCAATTTTCATTTTTATCTTATTAAAAAATTATTAATATTTTAATGTAAATATTGGTCCAACATTTAATTTTATACAATTTCTGGTATTACACCTCTCAAAGTCAAAATTTTATATATATGAAAGAAAAGATTGAACTTTAATAACTAATTATTTCATAATTTTTGATAAATATTTGAAGTCAAAAATTTACATCCATTTGTCTTTCAATGTTTCCAATTTATTAAAAATCACATTTCCACCAATAATTCGAGAACTTGCAAGATAACAAAAATTTAGATGGTTAATTTGTTTTGTGAACACACATTTACACCTGCTCTGGTCAGTTTTCACCTGAAATTTGTACATTTTAAGAGGGAAAATAATGAAATAATACCACCAAAAATATGATTTATTTACAGTAGATTTTTAAAATTACACAACAAAGTCTTACAAAGAAAAAGCAATTGAATATCTTATTTAAATTAAATATTTCCTATGAAAAATATTCACAAGAAGGGAGGCTTTTTTATTTAGGTGCTTTTAATGAGATTAAAATAGGTTTAATTCTGTATTAAAAATCCTTTTTTTTTCCGGCAAAATGGCAAAGCTAAGCTCCACGTCCTATTTCATAATTTTATAAAGCAAATATACTTGTCTAAATCTAGAGTCCCTGTAGTTTAATTACTGATAATCTGTGTGGCTGTACAGTAATTTTATGTGGTCACAGTTAATTATTTCCTTTCAGAAGCAGGCAGTTACAGACCAAATCAGAAGCTTCAATAACGGCACATTCACATGTGTTAGTGTTTATATTTGATTTTTCAAAAATAATTAGAAAACCATTTTAATTCAAAGGAATTTTTCATGCATTATAAAGCAGTGATTAGCATTGTTTTTAGCCAAAAATCTCAAAATTGACAAAAATCTTGAAAAAAGCCTTTGGTGTATCTTTAATATGGCACGCCAAATTCACAAAAATGAGATAATCATACTTTCACAATCGATAAACTAGGTTTATCGGTTGTAAACTATAGTTAACAACGTTAATCTATATTTCACATCTGTAAACCATGTTAAATTTATGTTTCACAATGAAATTTTGAAAACAATCATTTGCGATTGCAAAGCATAGATTATCTGATAAATACATGTTTCTGATTTGTAAACTATAGTTTACAAACCGTTAACTATAGTTAACGATCTGATAAATATAGTTTCACAATTTGTGAAACTATGATTAACAACTCTTAACTAAAAATTGTAAACTATATTTACAAACAGTTCCTATTCATGTTTATCAACAAAATCTATTGTTAATGCTTGAAATTTACAGACAGATAAACTTAAATTAATATTCGTCAAAACTATAGTTAACAACCGTTCAATATTTTTACAGTTATGTCCCTTGGGAAAACTACTAAGTGCTTTACGAAACAAAACTATAGTTTATGGTTTGTAAACTATAGTTTACAGACGATAAACCAGTGTGTGAAGTGAAAAGGATTTTTATTTTTGTGAATATGGCGTGCCATACTTTAAGTCTGTTGAAACTCTACACATTGATTTAAATACATGTTTGTTGAAAAAAATGAACTGATGTAGTTTTCTGATATTTCACAACATCACTTGTAACTCTTCAGGAATGGAAAGGTTTCTTCCCTTGTCGTGATGCATCTCCTGAATATAAATTAGAGATCAAATGATACTTTTGTAATGCTGTCTGCAACATGGTTTATAACTGACACTATATGAGCTAGAATCAATCAGTTTTTTACTTAACTGTGCTGAAGTTCAGGTGAGCTTTTTTGACTGAAGGAAGTCCAGTGTTCATCTTGTTTATTGTTTGTAGTTTGTAAACCTTCCCAAGATAAGATAATTTATAGTAGTCTTTCAAAATCTTTTCCTAAGAACAGCAAAGCCATGATTAGTCATATTAAAATTGAAGCATCCTCAGACATTCTGGATTAAATTTGTTCAAATATGACCCCCTCTGGTAGAGTGGGCCATAAAAAGTGACCAAAGTTTTATATTAGAATATGTAAGGGAAAAAATCTGCTGGAAAACAGAAGTTCCATGCTTACTTATGTGAGCATTGTGGCCCCTGGGCCTCTTGTTAATGTTCCAGCCTTTCATCTATGTAGTAAGTATCAGACTGAAGCTCAATGGATTTGTGATGTTTTTTTCCAACATTTTGTCTACATTTTGTATTTGTGTTGGGCTTCTATCTTGATGGCGCATACTCAGACACAATTCAAAATTCAACTTTTCAAATATCTGTAATATTTTTTCGTTTTAATTAACATATAAAAGTAATGTGGAATAATATTAACTTGACGTCAACAATATTTAAGAACAAAATAAAGATTTTGACCTATAATTCAGGATGTTTCATGATTCCGGTACCTGAAAGCACAGACCCTTCATAACTCAATTTTGTAAGCATCAAGACCTCAAGTTTTGTATCCATCAGAACAGTGAACTCAATTTTGTACCCAATTGTACTAAAAACACAAACTATTTATTTGAATGCTTTACATTTTTTTTATTGGTCTATAAAATCAACAAAATAAAAATC